GTTTTTTAGATTAATTTTTTAATCTACTAAATTTTTTTGTGCTTTTTTTTAATCGAATTCTGAATTTGAGTCTGTCTGACCGTCTTGTCTACCAGTGCCGAATTTTTTCTTCTTTTTGAACTATTTTTATTGTATTTTTAAAGGAATATTTTTATTGCAAAGTCTAAAATGATGTTTTAATTAAAAATTGAATTTATTTATTCGTAGGAAACAATTTTTCTAGTTAATGTGGATTCTCGAATATTTTTATAAGTAGAAAATATTTTTTACAGAATTTGTATCACTGACCTTCTTATTCAGACAACATAATCAGATGATGTTGTTTTGTTTTGCTCTCATTTTGAGGAAAGATTTGAAAGTTATGAATTCCCATTTCCTGTTGATTCATCAAAATCTGAATTTGAGTTCTTCTGACCTCTTTGTCTGCTAGTGCCGAATTTTTTCTTTTTCTGTACTATTTTTGTAGTATTTTTAAAAGAATATCCTTATTCAAATAAAATTGCCAAGTCTAAAATGATGTTTTAATTGATAAATTGAATTTATTTATTCGTATGAAAAAAAATTTTCATTAATCTGGATTCTCGAATATTTTCATAAATAAAAAATATTTTTTACAGAATTTTAATTACTTTTTTAATTTCCCAGAATTGGTCATTGTAGTTATTATATTTTCAGTTATTTTTTCTATCTCAAATGCGGCCGATCCTGTGTTTCTGGTTCCCTAGAAGTTTCCGCCTTTTGTAGATGTCGCCTCAGCGTGGCTCCCAGAAAAGACGATTGTTCCGATGTGCCGAAAAATTCTCGAGTGGATTTTTACTGCGGATTGATTACATGCCTTGAGGAATGAATGGAGGTAGGATTGTCCCCATGAACTCCGATCCTCTCTATCTCGAATGCTGCCAATCCTAGGCTTCTGGTCCTCAAGAAGTCTCCGCCTTTCGTAGAAGTCGCCTCAGCATGGCTCCCAAAATAGGTAACTACTGTATACTGTTTTGCCCAAAATTTCTGGAGTGGATTTTCGCTGCGTATTGATTTCATGGGATTTGCTTGAGGAATGAATAGAAGGTTTTCCCGATTAAATCCGATCCTCTCTTATCTCGAATGCTGCCAATCCTATGTTTCTGGTTCCCACGAAGTCTCCGCCTTTCGTAGATGTCGCCTCAGCGTGGCTCCCAAAATAGTTAAATACTGTATACTGTTTTGCCCAAAATTTCTCGAGTGGATTTCCGCTGCGTATTGATTTCATGGGATTTGCTTGAGGAATGAATAGAGGGTTTTCCCGATTAAATCCGATCCTCTCTTATCTCGAATGCTGCCAATCCTATGTTTCTGGTTCCCAAGAAGTCTCCGCCTTTCGTAGATGTCGCCTCAGCGTGGCTCCCAGAAATGAGAACTAATGTATATTGTTGTGCCGAAAATTGTCCAGGGGATTTTCGCTGCGAATCGATGACATGTGGCTGCCTTGAGGAATGAATGGAGGACTTTCACGATAAACGCTGATCCATTCTATCTCGAATGCTGCCGATCCGATGTTTCTGGTGCCCAAGAAGACTCCGCCGAAAGCCGTCAGGGTGATGTCGATGATGTTGGTGAGGTCTAGTGACACCAAGCCGTCCAATGGACCCACTCTTCTTACGTACGGCTGGAAGTGGCAGAATGGGTAGTGGAGGTCCACCATGTCCAATCCGTTTGGTGGAAGCTGCGCATGATGAGGAGGATTTGAAGCGAATTTTTGAAGTTTCTTTCATCCACGAGGTAGGTGAGTTAGAGTTAAATCTATTTCCGAATTGAAATCGTAGACCTTAGTTTCTTGCTTTATTTTTTTGGCCTGGTCATCAAAAATCCGGTAATTTAGAATTTTTTTGTGTTACCCTATATTTTGACTCAATTCCCATGTGCACATTTTTTTTTCATAAATCAAAATTTTTTTCAAGTTTAGATGTGTATTGTACTGGATCATTCTACTGAGAGATTTCTGGCCAATTTTACAGAAAGACTCATTTTAATGGAATCAATAATATAAAATTGTTGAATTTAGGTTCAATATACAGTATGTCTAAATTCAAATTTGGGTGTTCCCATACTTTTAAGAAATGGATGGAAACTCTGTAACACAATCAATTCTCTGCAAACATTTTCTTTGTTAAACAATATTGTTTTCCTCCCAATGTTGGAGGGGCTCTTTACAACAAAATTCTCTCTTCAAAGAATTCTTTCTGGTCCCTTTTGAATTTTTTTGTAATAGGGAAAGTATACCTGTATTGCATTTTTAGAGTCCCATTTTCTGAGTCTAAAATTTGGTGGAAAACTGGTGCATGTTTTACTTGAGCTTGCCTAAAATTACAGGATTAAATATAGCATTTTAATTTTTTAAATACAATTTAATACACAATATATGTAAAAATATACTGTATTTACTTTTGTACCACCTGCACCCTTTTTTCACAAAAATTTAAATTGAAAAAGGGGATGTGTCATAGATGGGTATGATTTTTTGAAAGTTTTGAAAGTTTTGGTGTGCATTATATTTTTTATGATTGAAAATGTTTGACCAATTTCTATGGAAAAACTTGCTGTAATAGATATAATTGAAAATTATTTTAAGTCAGGATCAAATTGTGGTGTTATTATTTTTTTAATAACAGTTTTAGTGTCATTAAAATGGGGTGAATTTCTTACTGGGGAAACAGAATTTTTTTGTACTGAAAAACCCTGTTGCATGTCTTACTACAGGGAACATGGTACTTGAGTAAATACAGTACTTTTAGATCAAGTAAGGTTACTTACTGATTTGAAGAGCTCAAATTGAGGATAGAAAGGGTCAACGTCATTCCTCAGAATCACTTTGAGTCTGCTGTACTGGCCTTGTACCCTAACCCTGAGTTGTATCCCAGTGAAGGTGGACAAATCTTGTGGGGTCAGTTTCATTTGAACCCCAGCAAAAGAGGTCCCAGCATTATCCTTTTCATTCAGCAGTGTGAACAAAACACCTCTCTGGGATTTCCTGGTTCTGATCAGGGTGAGGACAGCTTTTGAATTTCCCAACTGTGGAAGGAGGATTAATTTCATATCATTTGTGAGGGATGTCTTTGTAAATTTATTTCATCAATTCCACTATCAGTATATTCATAAGTGTATATGTGGTATAATGTATCAAGCAAAAACATCAATTTCTGAGTGATGTACAATTTCATGGAATTTTTCATTTATTTATTCAGACCTTCAAAAATCAACAAAATTGATGACCAAAAATGGTTCCTTTTTTAACTGTGTTAATGTAAAAAGTTATCAAAAGTAGCAATGAAGTTAGTTATGATCATCTGGAATTTTGGAAAGACAATTGCATTTGAAGTTATCTGATGAAGAATCAAAGTTGGCTTTTCTCCAAATAATGCTTCAGACAAATTTTCACCTGCTGAAATGAATTACATTAATTTCCATTCTGAGAAACCTTTCTCCAAAACCACCTTTCTAGTTTGTTGAAGACATAGCACTATAGCTTCTTCCTTGGTTCTTGAGTTAATTTTTGCAAAAATGCAGAAAATAATTGCAACATGCCTTGGAGTCTTTCCAACAAAACTTTGTTGAGTCTGCAAAAATTGTATGAAACTTACTTGGAGTGCAGAATTTTTGTTTTTTTGAAATTAGCCAGTCTGCAGGCTCAAAAAGGTTGGAGAGCATTATATACAGTGCTCACAATTTTTGATTGAGAGACATGAGATGATGGTGTCACATATTGTAATTGGATGAATTTATTTTGACTGAAATGCAAAATATTGGCAACAGGTTACAGTAATTTTACATTGATATCCTATCATGGCAAAACTGTTATTGGGACCAGCAGGATAAAAGCTTTGTCTGGCCCAAAAAAAAAAACTAACTCATGCATATAAAGCACACTTACATGATGCATAGTGTCAGAAAACTCCACCCAGTTTTGCAAGTCATCAGCATATCGGAAATCAAAGAGCAGCTTGTGAGTTTGTTCATGCTGCCACATCCTGTTATCCAGACCAAAAACCCTTGTTCGCAATTTTCATTATTGGCAAAAAAAAAATCAGCACTAAATATACTTCACTTTGACAGGGCAGACACATTCAAATGATTCAAGAGATCCTGGAAGTACTGGACACTACTTGCGTCCTTGCTGCTGCTGAAACGTGATGCTGTTTGATTCAGCATCAGTCGCTTGTGTGTTATCCCAACAGCAGTGTATGGATTCGAAATTAAAATTACCCATACAGTGAAATATGCCAAAACACCTGCTGACATTATATGCGCAAATTCCGTAAAAATTTCACAAAAAGTACATCAGTTGTATCAGCCTACTGGAGGCACCGAGAAATTTTCGCCAGCAGAAATTCTGAGACTGGGTATTTTTTTGGGTGGTCATGCTTGCCAAGAATAATTCTTGAATATAAAAGCCGTTTTGGCGCAGCAAATTTGGCATCTATTTATGTGCAACAGCGACTTATTGACTTATTGATTATGTATACAAGAACTTGACTTGCTTTGGCAAAAAATTGGCTGTGATAAAACTTTTAGCAGACGTGGGAATGGGTAGTTTTTCCTTCAGGTGATTATATTTTTGGACATAATTTTCCTGTGTGCTCCAATGACTGCAGATTTTAAAAAATGATCCCCAAACTTTTTTTTTTTTGTGCTTCTGATGGTTTAATTGCATATTCAGTTGAGGTGTAGCTGCTGCAAAAATTTTTTGAGCATCTCTATTCCAGCATGAGAGGCTGCTTCAAGTATTGTTTTTCAAAATTGGTTTTCAAAAAATAATAGGAGTCCCCTAAATGTTTGTATTCCTGTTGAATTAAAAAGAAATAAGCCTTTCAGGGTCTTCTTCATGCATGACTTAAACAAAATGTGCCCTTTTTTCAAAGCTAAGAAAGAAAAACATTGGATTTGATCATTTGTTTCATGCATATGTGATGACTGGAAATTTTGAAGAAATGACACACATTTTTGAGCACTTTCTTTGATGTGGTGGAGTTCACAAAACCACCCAAAATTAACTAAAAATCTACATAGAGGAAATACGTCAAATTTTACATAATGTGAAAAAATTGTGAAGTTCATATTGTATATAACATATACAGATGGACACTCTCTACTAGTCTACAACAAACTCATATTTAAAACAATGTTGTCTGAATTAATTTTTTTCTGCAGAGAAAACAACACAAATCCTCCAACTCAAAAAAAAAATTAAATAGTAAAAGCTGAATTCCAACTTATTTCCCTGAAATAAGGTACTGTATAAAAAAAATTCTTCATGGAATGAAACTTTAAAACTTGGACATGGCTTTAGGAAAGCATCTCTTCCATGCTGCATATGTTTCCAGCTGAAAAGAGAAAACGCGCCAGGCAGGAAAGGGAAGGAAAATGGGCTTAAAGTGGCAAACTAGAGTTGCTCATTTCCCCCCTCTCTTTTTCAAGAATATATTGTTGGAGGGAGGGAGCTCTTGAGCAAGCATTTGGAGAGTGCTGGGGCGCTATGGCAAAGCATCGACTTTCCATTCTTGGAACAGATTTATTCTATAAAACTAAAGTCTTTTCTTTCAAGAGTTTGTGGTAGGGCAAATTTTTGTTCTGCCCTGTGAAACCATCTTTGTAGGAAAACACAGAATATACAAGGGTTCTAACAAAAGTTCTTGGAATGAAAATGAAATTGGCGTCTGATTGAGCTTAAAAAAAATATTCTTTAGGGCAAACATATTCTTTGGCACACAAAAAAAATCAGCCCTGTTTGACAATTTTTTTGAAAAATTCACCCCGGCAAAGTTTTGCTATGCACTCAACAGATGAGGCGCCCTTCCTGCAGTTTTTTTTTTTTTTTTTTTTTCAATTTGGCAGTAATTCCAAGGTTTCCTGTATTTTTTTTTTTTTTTTTTTTTTTTTTTCAATGTGGCAGTAATTCCAAGGGTTGCCCCCAGGTCTTCCAAGGCAATTCCGCCATTTTCATCGACAGCCGCCACTTTCGAGCTGAAAAAAAGTTCCGATGTTATATCTAACATTCACACCGTCTTTGCAGATCATCATCACTATACACAGGCACTTTAGCCATGACGATAGGTGCCAAGGATGAAGGCCCAATAATAGGACCTATAGCATTGCTCGTGATCATCCTCGACGACACACGATTCTGCGGCTGCTGATGCTATCGTCCACCACCCGGATTTATTGCTCAACCAAGACTGACTGCGGAAGAAGAGGACGACTTAGTCAGGGAGGAGACATCATTACCTTTACTATACCTCATGGCTGGAATGGATGTGGGACTCGAGGACAAATCAGACACCACAAAATACCACCACCCAGAGCCCGACCCCAACAACCCTCGCGACTATATGCCACGCAGAACCCGACAACGAGTACCAGCACCCATGAATCCGACAACGAAGCAGAATTCAACCATCACCTGCGACTCCATCAAAAACTCGCCCGGCAACACCATCAGGAAACATGACAACCTTGAATCCAGTCATGACTACCACCAACACAAAAAAAAAATGCAACCATGCAGTAGCACCCGCGCTCAACCCAAGCAAAAACTAATGCTCAACGAGATGAAATTCATCAGCATCAGGATCCCTCAGAAAAGTCTGCATTTTGGTCCATTATCCGCGCGATTCTTGACTGATGCAGGACTATAGGAAAATAGATCCAAAGGTGCAAACCTGAACTCTCTTGAAGAATCAGCAGAGACAAAAAAACAGTGATCCAGCAATGATTTGCAAGAGGTTTAAGCCGTGAACGCCATCAATAGCAATTCTTTCAAAAACCTCATGTTAAAGTTTGTTCTGCTGTACTGGCAATTGATCACAATAGAGTTTTTTTTAACTTCAATCTTATGTTTGTGAGTGATGTTGATTGAAGACAACTCATATTATGTATGGTGTGGGATCATTTGCTGATGCTCTTCATTGTTCATGCATATTTGATATGATGCGTTGCTGATGGAAATAGAAAAAAACTTGCCAGTCAGGAAAATGTTTCAACTCCTTCAAAATACTTGCTCAGCGCAATTCAGAAGAAGAATAATCTAAAACAACTGTGTGTTGCAATTGGAGGAAATGGGGGTTTCCTCCCCAAGTGGGGAAATTGGTGCACAGTGGGGATTTCTTTGTAATTCTACACAGTGACCCTGCTGTGCATCTGAAGTGTACCAAAGTTCTTCTGTTGCACATGCATATCCCTAATGTGCACCAATTGTGTGTTCACACCAGGATTACTCAGGGTCACACTTGTGAAAAAATATGCTACACCAAGGTTACCATTGGTGCATTCATTCCTAATGTGCACCAATTGTGTGTTCACACCAGGATTACTCAGGGTCACACTTGTGAAAAAATGCGTTACACCAAGGTTACCAGTGGTGCATTTATGTGATGCTCCTGTTATTTCACATTTGCGCACCAAGTGTAACCCTGGAATGGTAGCAAAATTTCCTCCACAGGAGTGCACACTTGTAACCCCAATAAATCCCATATGCACCAGTTGTGACCCTGCTGTGGGGTCACAGTAAAAATAGCCCCCCACTTGGGTCATCTCAGCAATATAGAAGCAAGAAAACATACCCAGTGCAATGACATGCGCTATGACATCTGTGAAATATGTACAGCATCAGGAATTTGCAGTTCATTTCACTTTTGGTTTCATACTCCACACACTGTAATGACTGTATCACAATTGCATCTCATGTACATTGTATACATATTCTGCATGTACAGTATATGCTGTGTATATATATGCAGCATACACATCAGTATGATCATCAACTTTATATTCAGTGTTAAAACATGTATTCATAAATAAGGTGGCCCACCCGAGGAGTTGCTTAATATGAATTCCAGTGACGCTATACATATACTGTACCTGTGAAAAAACGTTATTTCTTTGCTCCCTTATTAATTCCTCACGGTCAGCAACATCTATATTTAATCTCAATGTACAATGTTCCCCTTGTGCTGCTCCCTCCTAGCTGTTGAACAGGAGTAAAAACCCCTTGGAAGCAGTAGGGTTCTTACTGTTCTTTAAACGAAACAACACATCTATTTCACATGTCAATGAGTGAGGAAGTCTCACAAGTCACAATAAAAATAGGAAGGTCCTTCTTGGTCAAGAGGCCCAGTCAGAGAGTGTATATGCTACAGCAGGGGTGCCCAAGATACGGCCCGCGGAGCACTCCTGTCTGGCCCGTGACAGACACCCACCAGCCAAAAAATACGGGAATTTTCTTAGAATCCTACAGACCAATCCAACCCCTGAATAAAAAATTGTATAAATCCTGGAAAAATCACTCACATATTTTCTTTGCAGTTCTTGTTACTCTATTCAAAATATATTTGCAATAAAAACTTTAAATTTTGGATTATTCATATTTCCAATTTCTTATCCACTTGATCATAACAAAATTGAACAAAAATTGTGCAAATAAGCTTTTTCTAACCTGTGATATGATCCTACCTGCAAATCAAAATTTTAAAGGCCAGATACCTTTTTGAATTCTTGAAACAATCTGAATGGTATTCAAGTGATGCATTGATTGTCATTTAGAACCATTCTGAAGTATTCTTCTGCACAGCACAAGGCAGAACATTTTCAGATGATAGAAAATAATATTCCTATATAATTCTAAAATAATATTTGTCCAAATGATCTGGTAAATTCTGATTTCTGATCTCAGAAAATGACAAAGAATGGACTAAAAAGTTCAATTTTTCTCTTCATCTGCTCTTGTCTACCACTCCAAATGTGCAGGAATGGGAAAGCACAGTTGATTTTACATCCCACCAGCATTGTAGAATGTCCAAGATTGAACATTCTCTTCATGAGTCTTAGGATTGAACTCTCACTATATAATCAGCTCACTCAATTTCAATTCTGTAACATTTGAATTTACCAGATGAAGGTGTTACTGTATTTAGAAAGAGGAGATCCAAACTAATTGATTCCATTTTGCTCCTGCTGCTCATTAATAGAAATATCTGATGTCAGTTAAAACATGTCAGCAAAGGCAGGGAATCCAACCTTAATTTGACATTTTCAGGGAATAGCTTGCATTGAAAAAATAAGCAGAATGTTACATTTTTCAGAACCCTCCTCCAATAAAAAATTGAATAATATAAACCGCAATTTTTTTTTCATATGGCCCGCAAAAACTTCTCTCCTTATTGTTATGTGGCCCGCCACCAGTTTTGAGTTGGGCACCACTGCTACAGCATCCTGTTCTGATTCCTGGGTGAATATCTGCCGTCTTCCGGCTAGATGTCGCTCTTGCTTGTATGTATAAAACAGCGGTGTGTTGCATTCGGAGGAAATGGGGGTTTCCTCATTTCAGCAATGGAGAAGCAAGAAAACATGCAGTGCGACAAACACTATGACATCCGTGAAATATGTACATATGTTTTCCCTAAAGAATACATTTTTTTCAGCTCAATTGTAAGCCTTCTTAATTTACATTCTGAGAACTTTCGTTAGAACCCTTGTACATGTATATATGTATATATTCATACTCATCAGCTTTGTTCAGTGTAAAAACATGTGTAAAGGAGGCAAACCCCGAATTTTTGCTCAATATGAATTCCAACAGTGACTCCTACACAGTATATTGTATACCCATGAAGGTGTTTATTCCTTGCTGCCTTCCTGGTCAGTGACATCTATTCAATCTCGATGTATAACCTCCCCTGAACTTCTCTCGTTGAACAGGTGTAAAACCCATGAGGTAACAGTGGATTGTAGTGGAGTTGCGGCTTGGTGAAAATGTGAGAGAAGAGCTTGTTTTCATTCGTTTTTTCGAATGAAAGATTATTATGTGAACAGTGATTCTATAATCTAGAAAATATTTATGATTTATTCTTAGATGCCGTTGTATGAAGGCATTGGACTGATCAACGAAAAGCCAGCGGTCATTTTGGAGATTGGACAGTCGTTGACAAGGTATGCATTGCACTCAAAGCTAGAGTTTCTACATTGTCGAATTTCCTGCTGATTCTAAATTTTCAAAGGGTTGGGTTTGCTGGTGACATTACTCCGCTAATTTTACCAAGTGTCGTCAAGTGCCGCCAGTCAAATGCGTCTGTTCCACTGACATCCTTCAAAAATACGGTTGAACTACTGGAAGCGACTCTTCAATTTTTACGCAATCTCTACAACAAGTAAATATCATCTTCATTCCGTCGAAATACTTCGTGGATACATTTTTCGAATTTTGAAGGTATCTGCTGGTGAATTCGAAGGAAAGAGCCGTTGTGATCATCGAAGATGTTCTTGGCTGCAGCAAGCTACGGGAAGCTGTCGCGCGAATCTTATTCGATTACTTGGAGGTTCCTTCCATCGCATTTGTTCCTGGACCGGTAGTGGCGCAGTTTGCCGTTGGTGATGATGCTTTGTTCAGTGTCGATATTGGTAGCACTGAAACACGTATCATCGGAGTCTGCAGTGGAATACCGTTTATGAATTCTTGGAATGCCCTGAGCGTTGGTGTGGATGCCGTCAACAAGTCAGTATTGGATTAGTGTTGATCGATTTATGTTCAAATGCGGCGAATGTGACATTGCCCAAAGCAGTGACGTACTACGTGTCGATTTGTCGAGTAAGAAACCGGTACAGTATTATCTTGTGATTTGGTGTTCGAGAATGTTGTGTCTGAGAGAGTTATTTCGCTAAATTTTTAGTATTCCCTGGGTGTAAATGTTGAAGATTAAACGCATTTTGAAGTGTTCGCCTTGTAGTACTGAAAACATCTTACGAAAACAAGCTGAACGACAACTTATGACCAGAATGAAGGGAATCCGTTTTGAATTATTTGTGTGAAACTTCGATAGTTGATCCGAGACAGTGACGTGATGAGTAACCAATTCTCAAAATATGTCTTAAAATAAGCAATGGACGTGTAATATTCTTCGATTTCAGGAGATTGTCCGAAGAGTTGGAGGAATTTGCGACCGTTGTTCTTCCAACTGCCGAGGAAGTTCCGTTTCGAGATGTTTCGTTTCAGTTGGATGAAAAAACCGTGGATGACATCCGATGTGAGATATTCTTTCAGGACTTCTCAAATATTCCAACTGACATCGATGTACTGTTTTTTCTTCCTGCAGTACGATTTTGCTTCGTTACGCCTAGAGATCGAGCAGTTGCGAGAAATAATGGAGGACTGACGACTGAATGCCAAGGATCTGAGTACATCTTCACGCATGCTTCAGAAACTTACGTATTGAAAATCCCTGGTCGAGTTCGTGAAGGTGCTACGGAAGTCCTATTTGAGCCGGATGAAGATTCAGTTACTTTACGTTCCGCAATTTTGGATTCGATGATGATGGTTAGTATTTTTATTTTATTCTGAAATCAAAAAAGCGTGCCTTCGCGTCTCTTGGGTGTATAGATCAACGTGTGTTGATATTTCGTCTTGCAATATTCGGACATATTCTCATCGAAGTTGTATTTCAGTGTCCCATCGATTACCGGGTCAAGATTGCCGAAAGCATTGTGATATGTGGAGGATTGTCGCACATGAAAGGCCTGCGAAAACGCCTTCTGGAAGAGTTATTTGCTGAAAGCCATGAACGAGCTGAGCGTGAAGCAGCTTTGAAAAAGAACCAAAAACTTCAAATTAAATCCGACGAGGATGTCGTTGAAACGCACATTCCGAAACTGGATTTTAAGCTCTTCGAAATTCCTACGCCTGGAAATATCCTTTTCTGGTTTGGAGGTACTGTAATTCATTTTCGAGAAAATAATGGTTGCATGCTTTTCTGCTCGTGTTAATTTCAGAATTCCTCTACTACTAAAAATTGATTTTGTGTCTAGAAAATAAGTGATCTGCGTGTGCGACTTCGAAACTACTCCGAAAAATTAATTTACTGATAATTCGATATAGTTACTTCTTAAAACTCAGATGAAGGTTGAAATAACTAGGTTTGAAATTGAAATTTAGTAGTGCTGATGAATCATCAGTAGGAAGGAACATCCACTCCGCTAAAAAATCTTCATAACAAGTTTGGAGACTTCGTCTTGAGCCTTTTCGATGTTCCTTCCTTTGTATTGTGCGTACATTTTACACCTTGTGAATGAATCATATTCAGTTTTTCTTTTCTAATGCTACTGACTGATTTTCTGAATTTTTCGTTATTCCGTCAGTGTGGGGACTTCGAACCGCGAGAAACTTCCCTCGAAAACATGGGGTTCTTGTTTCTATTACATTGAACAGATCGAGTGGTTAGGCCTTATAGTTATTATTTTACTGACGCAGGAAAGATAAAAGCAACGAAAATGTAACCTGATGCATTTTAAAAGAAAGTGAGAGAATAAGTGGACAAATAAACCCTTGCTCCCAACTTCAGCATCCTGTCAACTCGTTCAGAAAGCAACTCGAGGCCTAGAATATTACCAATCACAATGAACCTCACCGAGTAAAATTTTTTCTGGACCCTTGAAGTTTGACATGAAAAGCTTCAACTGTGATACTAATCTTACATTCGTTTCAGGGTCGGTGTTGGGCAGCACTCAGCAGCTAGCGGTGCAAGCAATCACGCGGGATAATTATATCAAGAGCGGCGGAATTGTGGATTGGTGTGATCTCCGGTATGAGGGTTTACCGGACGCGCGTAAATTTGTGAAAGGGTGACGATAATAATGCGCGAAAAAAAGTAATAAATTAATCAATCTTTTGCTTTCGATACCTTGCGACGGATTGAATTGCAGACTCGTCAGAAGTGCCGTTATTCACGTTTCGTTCGTATCGGTTTAGGTTTCTTGATTTATATCCACGCCTGCTTGAGTTGATTTCTTTCGGCGAATCTGTGCTGAAACATGCCTAATTGTAAAGGTGAGTGACTGATTTTATGCATATTTGATGCTTCCGAAAATGTTTTAACCGTGAGAATCGTTGACTGAAGGGATAAAAGCAAACTTCAGTTGCAGTTCAGACTTGGCCTTCGTAACCTCGCTTGAACAAACGAATAAATCGAAGCAATTATTTTATGGGATGTCCGGAAAGTTACTGAAGTGTGAGTTTCAGCCTGAATGTGCAGCAAATGTCTTTTTCAGCGAAACCATTTTTGTGAGCATTTTTTCAGCGAAACCAATTCACCCAATTGACAGTATGTAGAGAAGGTTCAAAATCATTGCTGAAAAAAATTTGGTTCTAGTTATTTTTTATAATTTTTCGTGAAACCTCTGAAACCCTCATTTTAAATTCAGCAATGTTCCTGCAAACCACTGAGGTACATTTGAATGAAGTGAACTTTTTGTGAGTTTCTTTACTCTTCATTTGCGGTATCCATGTGCCAATAACGTGAAACTCCCCTGAAATAAGTTTAGATGGTATTGGACGAAGTAAAAAGTTTTACTGTGGGATCACGTGACGGAAGTTCTCTTCACTGAATGAGTCTTCAAATACAGTACCCCAAAAAATATGCGGTGATTTTTTTTTTAATGCACAATATTATGTTCAAGCGTGGACGGCTTATTTTTGGCAGAACAACTTCCTGCATTTAACGCTGATCACCTTTTTCAATTGAAACTACGGAAGCGTTCGATGACCGGAGTTGGCATTCATAAACTTGAGTCCTTGACGAAAATAGATTGATTCATAAATTCGTATTCTTGTTTTTCAGTGAACGTGAAATGGGGTCGGGAGCAGTACAAGGACCTGTGCTTGGACACTGACGAAGAACCCATGGTTTTCAAGGCTCAATTGTTCGCTTTGACCGGGGTCCAGCCCATGCGTCAAAAGGTCATGCTCAGAGGGATGACCCTGAAGGATGATGGTTGGGGCACATTCCCTGTGAAAGATGTGAGGTTTATTTTCTAATTACGAAGAAGTCTGGGTTAATGAAGGGAAACTGTTTCATTCGGAGGCGCTTTTTCTCGGAAAGCATATTACGGAATCAAGCAAATTATCAGGTGAAGCTATTCAGTGGGATCTTGAGCAACGAACCTAATCCATTCGTGGGATTTTTTTTGTTGCTCCAGACATGTGTTGTCTGAAACCTTCTGATTTTGAATGGAGCATTCCGCTTTTATGCCCATTCGGGAAAGATTGTCGTGAAAAGGAGAATATTTTGAACTTTTGCAAGTACAGTCGAATCCCGTTAAACCGCCAACGTTTGTGCAGCAGAATTTTGGCGGTTTAACAAGGGTTGCCACAGTGTTTAATGAATAAGTGTATTTGATGTTTAAAAAAATGTTTCAACCTCTATCCCTCCCCATCCTGCTTTTGGTGAAGATGACTCTCATTCTTTTTTTTTGTGGGGACGTAAATCTCTCATTCTTTGCATTTCTAAATTGAGAAAACAAATGATATTAAAAAATATTACCAGAAATATAAAGCTTTGAAGAGAGGAGCCAAAAATTTGTGGTTTATCGGGGTAAAAAACAGTGCCAAGATCCTGTTTGTTTGGCAAAAAACATTGGCGGATGGCAGATAAACGGGGTTTTCCCATCCCTTCAAGCTTGAGAAGATTTGTTTGGGAGGAAAAAATGGCGGGAAGCAAGGGCGGCGGTTTAAAGGGGTTCAACTGTACTGTACGTGAAAAAAACGCACGAATTGTTATTCAGCCCCTCCATTTTCGGGGTTGCCATTTAATGTTCCATTTATTTTTGACGGATTTTCAATGGAAGGCTGTTGGAAATATTGCGTGAACTTCGGTCTTTTGAATGAATATTGCCTTAGAAGTATTTTGTGGGTGGAAAGGGGGTTTTTTCCAAATTCTTTGCGTATTTCGTCGAGCGAATGAAAAATTTTAAAATGGACTTAAATTGATGAAAAATTTGTATGCGACCTTTGTTACCAGGGCGTGACTTTCCTCATGATGGGAAGCAAAGACGAAGATGTACCGAAGGAACCCGCCGAGCGTCCAACATTTGTGGAAGATATGGCTGCGGATCAACTGCACAAAGCTGTGAGAAATCAATTGTATTGTTGCATTTTTTCCAATTACGATGAAGAGGATTGTTTCGTATTTTAAGTTGAATTATCCAAACGGCCTGAAAAATTTGGGAAACACGTGTTACTTGAATGCGTCCGTGCAATGCTTACGAGCTGTGCCCGAACTGAAGGCGAAACTGCTGTCTATGACGGGTGAGTCGATTGTGTGGTTCTGTATTTTTCGCATGACCCGGGGATCTTCAAATTTAAAAGGTTCAACGGTGATGAAGTAAAATATTTCGTGATACCTCCTGTTGAAGTATTTCCCCACAAATCTGGGAGAATTTTTCTCACGAGATTTCCTGACAGAAATTTATCTGTAATGCTTTTTATGGCCTGAGTATATCAACTTTTTATATTCCCTCGCGTTTTCTTATAAGTTTACTGTTGGAGTCTTTGAGATCCGCAATATTTGCAATAGAGAGAATAAAATTCATTTTTAATGGAGTTACGGAATTCAGCGAAAGGATTTGTGGAAAATTCTTTATAAAAACGGACTCGCTATACAACGATTTGTAACTAACGCATTTTCTCCGTATAAATATTTTTTTTCGTGGTCCAATGGGATTCTCTCGCATGTTAGATGAGTTCCCTGAAAGAAAACGTTATTCTCTCTTGGACAATTTTTTTGGTACTTTCCTGTTATCTCTGTACCTACTTTCCTGTTATCTCTGTACCTTCCCTCTGACCAATTTAACCTGACCTACCTAACCGCCTCCCAAAATCAGTTTCAGCTGAATGCAGAAAAATAAAATGCACAGTTTCTGGTAGGTTGTTGTGATTATAAAGTCGTCCTAAAGATTTGTCTGGATGGTAGTGCGGTCTAGGAATGAGGTACAGAGATAACAGGAAAGTACCTTTTTTTTCTGGTCCACTTGTTGACATTGCCGTTTTTTCCCGCACAGAATTCCGTGGTAGGCCGGAAAGCAGGGAAATAGCTTCGTCTCTCCAAGGCGTGTTTCGGAAACTGGACAGCGATTCCCCGCCGCTTTTCGACGCAGAAATGGAACTGACTCCACTGCGTTTGCTGCAAGGCCTGCACACTTCTCTGCCGCACTTTGCGAGCAAGACGGAAGGCGGCGTTTTGATGCAGCAGGACGCCAACGAGTGCTTCAACGAGCTCATGCGGTCTCTGCAGGAAAACATGGTTGACAAGGACCAGCTGGGCAAGAATTTCATCAATAGCTATTTCGGGATTCAGCTGGAGAGTGAATACAAGTGCTTGGAGGCGGAGAGTGAGCCGGTGACCAAGTCGACGGAAAACTCGCTTCAGCTGTCGTGTTTCATCTCGCCTGAGGTCAAATACATCCAGTCTGGACTTCAGGAGGTTTTTATACATCTTATCTTATTCATACTGAACTGTTTAAGGTATTAATTAATCAATTTTTTATTGTGTTTGCAGAGATTGACGGAAACGATTGAGAAGTTTTCGTCCACACTGCAGAGAAACGCTCAATACAAGCGCATCGTGAGTTATTCGTCATTTTTGCTGTTGATCGAATAATGTAGAACCTGGATTGCCCAATTTTCAATTTACTGAGTGCAAATTTTATATTCATTGCGAGGACAATAATTTTCCCTCGATTCGCTTCATTGTATCAAATTACAGATGGACTGTTCCTACAACAAAATTGAAGGGACCAGAAAAACTTCCGTTGAGAGGATTTTTTTCAAGAGAACCCTTTTAAGATGCGGAGATGACCATATGGGACCAAAGAATCGATGTAGAGAATATCGTTGTGAACAAGATTACAGCGGTCAAAAAGAGAGAGAGAGATCACATTCAAAATTTGCAGGGAATGTCTGTTATATCTTGTCAGGTCCCCGACAGGGATTTTTAAAATTTGTTCAGCTCGTCTTTGAAGGTTCGATTGACACTGATACGACGATTGTCCCACTTCTGCGCGTTCTTCGAAATTCTGACGTCATTGAAAATCGGAAACTTGTTGAAATTCCCCTCACTATGTTTCAAGAGTGTATTCTTCAGATTTTCAAGTCATTTTTCCGAGAGACCGCGTATTGAAAAATGAGAACTTTCTGGTTACAGCCTTAGTTTCCCCACTCATTTCGCAGTATGCCGGAATTTCGCCGTCAGAGTTTAATAATTGAAAAATGTTGTATTGTTCGGAATATCATGCTCCTCATGGCTGGCGAAAATTCAGAGGCATTTTAATGATCCGTTTTCTTAATGAATGAAAATGCCATGCTATGTTTTTGGGTTGAGGGGGCGGCAATGTCAAGGTGTTCGCTGTATTTACGATTTGTCGTATTTTATATAAGCTAATTCCTGTGAATAACAATTTATTGTCTTTGATTGATCGCTTTTCTCTAAAGCTTGATTTCTTCTCTGGATTTTTAAAATACCTTATTCGGTAGAATGAAGAATGAATTTTACGCGATAGAATAATTATCTCTGGGTCCTGGTGGAACCCAATGAGAGACGGCTGTGTCCGAGACAATTGAAAATTCTGTGAATTAACCCTTCATTCAGGCGATTAATTTCCAAGGGCGCGCGGAAGTCAGATAACCCACGTACTTGTGCGTGATTATCGAGAAAATGATGGTCAGTCAGTCAGTCAATTAATCCCGTAGACGTGTGTACTGTACTTTTTTTGGTACTTTCCTGTTATCTCAGTATCCATTTTTCTTTGTCTAGTGAATTCAGTAAGCGTTAGGCTAGGTCAGGTTATGTTGACTGAAATATATTTGTAACTAACATAACATAACCTGACCTAACCTAACTTTATCTAACCGCCTCCCAAAATCAGTTTCAGCAGAATGCGGAAAAATGAAATTCACAGTTTCTGGTAGGTGCACGGAAAGTAGGTACTGAGATAATAGGAAAGTACCCTTTTTTCCCCTCTCCTGTTGTGTTGCAGTCAAAGTTGAGTCGGGTGCCGGCGTACTTGGCGATTCAGTTCGTGCGATTTTGCTACAAGGAGCGCGAGGGCGTGAATGCCAAGATTCTGAAAGACGTCAAGTTCCCGCTGAGTCTGGACGTGTTCGAGCTCTGCTCTTCCGCATTGCAGCAAAAGCTGACTCCCGCGAGGGCCGCCTTCAGGGAGAAAGAGGAACGCGACTTGGGCGCAGCCTTCAATAAAACCGGGCCCAAGGGAGAACAAGTACCGAAGAAGAAAGTCAAGACGTGTCCGTATGCGTTTGAAGACGGTACGTTTGTGTCTGCTTATTGATTTATTTATTTTTGTGTTTCCTGGAAGCCCTTCTGGTCGAACCGTCGATGTTTTTTGTTCTTTTCTTTCGACAATGAAATATTGTTCAATGTTCCATTTTTTTGAGTAAATACTCTCAGCGATTTTAAAGAAGTGCAGTCTGTATTATACGCAAAATGTCTTGCCCACATCTGAACTTTATGCCACGTGATGATTATGAAAAGAACCTTTGGGCAATTTTCAATCACCGGTTGTAATAAAAGCCTTAAAATTCAAGAAGAGCTTTTCAGCGGTTTAGTGGTAATTTAGCAGATTTTTAAAATTTTTTCTCAAGTTTTTGTCGTAGGTACGAGTTTTTTTTTCATTATTGTACGTCAGTGGATAGGAATAAAGTGGTGCCCCGAGATGCGGACATAAATTGTGCTAGGACCGTGGTTCTCTGTCGCAACATTGACAGGTTGGATCGCGTTTTCTCATAGACTTCAATGGGACAATTTCAATTGGTTCTCCTGTTCATCAAATATTATATATATGTCCCCCGAATATTGAATAAAATTGATTCGCTCAACTTGAAGATGCAGAAAATTACTGTTCTGGAAAAATACACGTGGAATGTAATCTTCTAGCACAAAAAGGAGCCCGAGAAGAAAAGAAACTACTCAAGTCTAGGAATACCTTGCATAGATAACTCTGAAAAAGCACAAAATTAACCTGTTTTGGATTATGAATAGAGTTCATTTGTTATGAAATTTATGTTTGATTTTCGTGATCAGTTTGTTCAAGAGCTGTATAATTTTGAAAAATTGAGTCTTGGCATTTTTCTAGAAATAAAGGCAAGTGTCCGTATCTCGAGACATTGTCCAGATGTTGGTGCAGATTTTTCGTGTTTCAAGTGAAATTGTCTTTATGTGAGGATCCATGTTTTTCGTGTATTATTCTCGTTCTGGGCTTCCAGGTATTTTCAGACCTGTTTGTCATCTTTGCTTCAGATCCCGGTTCGAGCAACTCGGGCTACTACGATTTACAAGCAGTTCTGACGCATCAAGGAAGATCGTCATCCAGCGGCCATTACGTGGGGTGGATCAAGATGAAAAGCTCTGACGAACAGAGGCCTTACGCCTGGTACAAGATGGATGACGACAACGTTTCCATGGTTGACGAAGAAGAGATTTTACGTCTTTCTGGCGGAGGTAAATCCTGATTGGGTCTCTTCTTGGCTTGTAGAAAGCCGTTCGAAGTAGTCGCTAGTTTCCAGTTATGTCAAGCTAAGAAATCGAGGTCTTCCGGGTCGAGTAATTTTGTTCGAAAAAAAAAAAGCGTATGTGAGTAAAATTTGCCGTCCCTTGACGTGATTTTTTGTTGTTGTTGCGCATCACAGTGCTATTGTTTTGACCTGAGCTTTGATTTCACTGCTGTCTTTGATTTCATTATGGGATATGAATGTGTTTAGGTTAAAGTTTCTATGTTCCCCGAAATTTCAGGGGATTGGCATTGCGCCTACGTTCTGATCTACGGCCCAAGAATCCTGGAAATTGAAGAACAAGATGAACCGATGGAACAAGCCGCAAAATAGAAAAAAAATCGGTCTCTGAACCCAGCATCTGCTCTTCGACTCGTTCTTTCCTTTATTTTTCGGCGCAGTTCCGGAAGTGGAAGCAGTGAATCATTCCTTCCGCGGTGTCGCTTTATGAAGCCGCTGTTGAAAGATGTCTCTCGAGTGCGCGTTGGGCGACGAAAATGTATCCTGAGCCGAGACCATTAACATCGGATGAAGAAGGAAATGAAAATTCCGTCGATTACCCCTCTTTTTCTGGAATGCTCGAATTACGCATGATTCTTTCGTTTGGATGCATTGTCCCGCTTTTAACATTTTTCTTCGATAGATGAACTTCAGCGAGTGATGATCTTTCGTGAGTGGAGTAGAACGCGTAACACGAATGTTTCCGAAGTGTTCTCATCGAGGTACGATGAACGTTCGTCTGCTTGATGATGAATGGAGTTCTCGCACGTTACTAGAACCTCGTATGAGGTGAGTGAGCGTTTTTATTACGTATGACGACTTCGTAGATGTGGGAGCACGTTCAGTTATGAACGTCGAGCGCTGTAATTTTTTTGAGCATTACAATAATCCGACGAAACCGTTTTCCCCTAGAGATGCGGGAGAACATATTATTCACTGGAAATTAGTGATGTCGTGTCACTCGTGTCGGACATTTAATGCGGGAAATAATGACCATGCCGTGTAATAATTATGGTTACAGTACTGTACGTGGAGCTGAATGTTCAGTATTGAATGCAGCTTGATCCGCGCAAGTTTCTCATCTTTGGAATCGGAATGTCCTTGATTGCAGATGAAGTACTGTACTTGTTCGGCGATGGATGACGATACACCGCCGAATTCTGATTAATATTGCATGCACTTTGACGGGATATGGAAAGATCACTTTTTCTGGGAAGACGGCTGTGATCTGCGTGTCGATCGCGTTGTACGGGATTTTTCTGACTGTGCAGAGTTTCCTTTAGACGTTTTACCTTGTTTCGAAACCACCGTGATGACAATTTTACATCTTTCACCACAGAAGCTGTGGGTGTTTTTATTGAGACGCGCGGATTCTGGGCAGACGACGATTATCACGTTTTGCCGGTGAATCGCCGGGTGGCGCCATCATGATTTGCGCTTAGAGCTGGCCGATAAATCAAAGAGCGACCAGCGCCGAAGTGAACTGCTGTACGCAACAGCATTGTATTGTATTGTACAGTACAATATCAACATTACTGTACTAAATTGAACCACTCCTTTTTAAAAGGCTTCCCAGATTTATTCACCGATCTTTGTGAATCATTGCCATGAACTGAAAACACGCACAAAAGATGCAAACTCGAAATTGAAAGGCTGGTCGTTGCCAAGTGAATGAAGACCAAAAACCGCATTTGTTCGACTTGAGCAGCAAAAAAGCAGGAATTTAACATTCAAAATGGAGAATCGTTCATTGAACTCTTGTCCAGTACAGTGCGTTATACTTTTTCCGAGATCATCTCCAAATAAAAAGCATTCGCAGAATGGTAAGCCTTTTCGGAATGTCTCGTAGCACCTCTTCTGCTGAATAAAAACAATTTTCTTCTTTTTCTGATGCTTGATTAATTTTCTGTATTACGTGAGCTTCTAAGGTGCAATTTTAGTTTTTAATGGCATATGATTTTCGGAAGGATTTCTTTGTACAGTATATGGAAATATGGGGATATTTTAAGAAGACGAGATATTCTACACTTGAATCCGAGTGAAAGTGGCTGTTATTCAAGAGGTCAATTTCTATAGCGAACTCAGACATTTTATTTTTCTGAGTGAATTCTGGACAATGTTTTAATGAGTTTCTTCGAACCCAGAATTCGGTTTTTTCTTCGTATTACCGTAATTTCTGAATATCCCCGACTGGTAATTCCACATTCCGAACGAATCGTATGTCGAGGAAAAAATTCAGTATTTCGGGTTTTCCAACCTTTTCGAACAAATTGACCCCATTTAAAATGAAAATAAAAGAATAGAAGCATTAAAAATAAAAGAAGCCTTTTGACGAAGAGACATTTTAGATTATTTATTTTTATTTAGTCTTGACATCTTCCGGGGAATCCGCGCGGACTTCCTTCGAATTTTCTTCTCGATCGAAAAACAAATTCGGAGAACGATTCAGTTTCAATTTTGAGGAAAAGTCGGAATCGGGCAGAGGGATAAGTTTTTATCAGTCGGATCAGACAATGTCATCCGATTATTAGCAGGAAACACTGGAACGAAAAAGCGGAAGGAAGTTTGTGAGCCTCATCGTGGCTGCTGTCGGTAATTTAAAAATAAGGACTTCCGGAAACGAATGCGGAGAAGAATTCTGTTTCCATAATCTTGAGTAATGGTCGAATGAGCAGAAACGGAAGTCTTCCTCTCTCTCTCTCACTCACTCTCTCTCAACACCTTCAAATCTGTGATACATTGATTACACGAGGGTCTTGACAAAAGTTCATGCAATCATTCAAAAGCTGTCATGCTATTGAGCAGAAAAAAAAATTATTCTTCAGGAAAAACATATTCTTTGGCACACAAAAAATATCAGCCCTGTTTGACAAATTTTTTTGAATTTTTTTCATAATTCACCCTGGTGGAGTTTTGCTCTCCACTCAAAAGATGAGGCGCCCTTTTTTTGTTGTAGCCCAGCTTTTCCCTCAGAATTTTTGAAATCAACGTGGCATTCTTTCTAAGGGTTGCCTCCAGGTCATCCAAGGCAATTCCGCCATTTTCATCAACAGCCGCCTTCACAGCTGCCAAAGTGGCGGCCAATGTGGCGGCTGCGAAGGCGGCTGTTGATGAAAATGGCGGCATTGTCTTGGAAGATCTGGAGGCAACTCTTGGAAAGAATGTCACGTTGATTTCAAGAATTCTGAGGGGAAAGCTGGGCTGCAAAAAATTAGAGCAAAACTCTGCCAGGGTGAATTTTGCAAAACATTAAAACAAATTGTCAAACAGGGCTAATTTTTTTTGCCAAAGAATATGTTTTTCCCTAAAAATAAATTTTTTTTCAGCTCAATTGCATGACTTTTGAATCATTGCATGAACTGGACAAGGACTTGAAAAAAAAAAGAAAAATGCGTTGTTACCATTAATTCGTTATAAAGAGATTCCACTGTATATAAATCATTTTTCACTCACTCTTTGACGTGAGTGAGCTTCGGTATAGAAGAAAATTCGCCAAAATGAAATTCAAACGTCATGGCTTTTGGACAGGGACCGAAAAACAAATTGGTTGTGGGCATTAATTCGTTGTAACGGAGATTCTACTGTATATGAATCATCTTTCACTCAGTCCTCGACAATATTTCGAGTCAATCGAACGTTAGCAACGAGTTGCGAGGCAAGAAAAAATCGGTGGGGAAAAGCAGGCGATCACAATGACGAGCATCACGTAGCCGGACTGGGTGCAGGTGGTGGCGGCGGTGAGCAGGGCCGCGGACGACCCGGCGGAGGGACCACTGGCCATGCGGCTGGACCGCGTTGGCGCCGCTGCCACCACCACCGCGTTGTTGTTGTTGCCGTACGGGTCCTCCTTGGGCTTGAAGACGTACTTGGCCAGGAAACCCCGGTCGTCGAATCTTTGATCCGATCTTGAAGAAAAAGGAAGAAAAAATTGAAAGATTAACTGAATTACAGTGAGACCCCGAGATGCGGACGTAATTGGTGCATCAAGAGTGTCCCCCAAGTCGAGTCTGTTTTCCCATACACTTACATTATATAATTTTTAATTCATGTTTTGTGGAATAAATATTCTTCAGAATTCCCTGAAAAAAATTGTTTGCCACTTGAATTTGAATTAGTGAATACATTTTCACCTCAATAAGAACATGTGGAGCATTGAATAGTGTATCTCTGTACTGTACACTGAAATTTTGGCATCTACAAAAATAACGTTCAAGTGAAAAAAGTAGAAGTCCCTCTATTATGCTGGAGGTAATTTTTTTAATCAAGTAAATGGATGGTAATTTGGTGAGAGAAATGCCCAAGAACTTTTCTCACATCAATTTTTGGGTTGGAAATATCAGTTTCTTGTAATTTGGCCTGAAATGTATTTGCAATTTTTTCACAAAATGTCCCTATTTTGAGTGAGTGTCCTCATGTTTGGCCTTATTTACTGATTTTTTCTGGGAAAATAAGTGTCGCTATGTTGAATTGTCCACAGGTTGAGGCATCTGCATGTGGGGGTCTCACTGTATGTACAGTGAGACCCTGAGATGCGGACGTAACTTTTGCTTTTGCCTTGTCCCTTTTGTTGGAACGTCCCCGTGTTGGGATCACTTTTCCCCTAGACTTCAATGGGGAACTTATTTTACCCAATAACTGCCAAATTTAGTGCGCACCCATTTTTGCATCATTTCACTTCATTCAAATTTAGGTAGGCCGGGGACAGTTTTTAAAAATTTTAAATTCAAAATCTTGTCAAATATTTGAATTTTAAACTTGATCCCAAGATGGGGCTCATGGCAGGTACCATCTTCTTTTATACCAGTAAAATAAGTCTTTTATACATTTGAAAAAAAAAATTCTAGCATTTTTTTTTACATAATTTCATTATTATAAGCTAAATGTGAGTGCAAACATATCTTCTGATACAATTGTGATGCAAGAATACCACTAGGAATGAAATCTCAAGAATAATTTATGATTTTTCTAACATTTTTATGATTTTCCAAAAAGCACCTGAGTCCCAAATGGGGCCCACAGCTGGTGATTGGTCAATTGGTTAATTAAAAATTAGGAATAAACAAAAAAAAAATGAATAAAATGTGTTGCTCAACTTGAAGATGCAGAATATGTGACTGTGGGGAAGAAAGCCACCAAAATGGCCCCAAAAGCAAAGAAAAAGTTAAAGTATTGCTATACTGTACTGTGCACAGATTGATGGAGTATACTGTACTTGAAAAATAAGCACACAATTGACATGTTTTTAATTACACATTTAAGAAAATGTATAGTAAAAGTCATTTTATACTTGTGTGAATAGAGTATAAATCGCTCAATTTGTTTGAGATATCCAAATTATAAAAAAATGCAATTTTTCATGATATTGTGGGAAAAGTGTCTGTATGTCAAGATATTGTCTGGATGTTGGGTCCATATTTTTCAAAGTATCAATTGTTCTTGAGTTGAATTGTCCATGTGTTGGGGTGTCTGCACAGGTGAACCTAGATGAGTCAAACCTCTCAAAGCTATTCTTTTCAAGTCCCTGTCCAAATTTATGCTTTATTGAAATCAATAAGAGTTGAATTTCATTTGTTTTGAAAGGAAGTAAAAGACCAATTGGACAAATGTACCCTGGCCTACAAG